CCTTACAGTTGCCATCGGTCAACTTTTGCTCTTGAGCCCAAAGAAATTTTCTACATATTTTTTATATATCCTTGAACAAGCCCGTGGGAGCACGGATTTAGGTGAACTCCCAGAAGCAACGAATCTCCTATTGCCAATTGTAACCGACGTAGCCGCCACAAAGAGATCTATGTCCTGCTAATCACACGGTAGTTTAGAGCACACCCATGGACCCTGAGGAGCCTGCCAGGCTAATTCATAGCCATCTCCGCCTTAGGGCGCACTCGAACTTGTCAATGTCATGGATGTCGAGGCCGCCTAGGTCAACCAGTGAGCAGACGGAGCTCCACCTAGTCTCGCATTTGACGTCATTCGGCTTTTCCTCTGGATTCCAAAGAAATTTTTGGTATATTTTGTATATATCCTTGAAGAAGCCCGCGGGAGAGCGGATGGCTGCCAGATCAAAGATAGGGATGGCCCCAATGACAGAGTGCGCAAGTGCACACTGCATAACATGATTGTTTAACGTTCCCTTCCAACCTACAAGCTTGGCCTTGATATGATAGAAGAAGAACTGCCGATGGACTCTCCTTGGTTTGGCCTAACGTGATTTGGAGCCCCAAGTAGGTCATATGTGATGGGGAAGCCAACACACGCACCTCCAAAACCATGTCCGACAGTATCCAGGCCGATGTGCTGACACCTGATAGGCACGCCCGATGATTTGTTGGGGTCGGGATACCGATATATCGCACCTCGGGCTTTGTGAAGTGTCACAAAGCAAAGGGAATATCGTATGATAATTGAAGTTTCACTCGAATGTCATATATGTGAGTATAGGGGTCAACATGGATGTCCACGATTATGTTGTTGATCACTGAACGAAAGAAAGTTTTGTTCATGTCCATATTTCACCGAACCTACAGGGTCACGCGCCTATGGGAATTACAGTTTATTAACTTCTAGTGGATTAGTTTGGGGAATTTTGGTTTATGAGAAAATATTACCGGAATAGTTTTGGGAATAAAAGTAATAGTTTGAGAGAAATTGGAAGTGTTTCGGGGTTATTGAAAATGTTCCGGGGAGTACCGGGGAATGATATATAGGCGAAAATTGTTATGAGGGACTTAAGACAAATTGTAAAGGGCTGCAATATTTATTGGGAGACTCCTAGAATTTATTTAGAATCATTGTGCTAATTGCAGTAATAAAAGCATTTGAGGGAATAGCTAATGGGCCTTATCGACACCATTGGTGGAGGCACCCCCTCCACCAGGGCTTGTTGGACAAGCTATGTGGGGAGATTGGAGTTGGAGGACTCCTCCTCTAGGCCAGCTTGAGGGGGAGCCCCCTCCAAGCCGGCCTCCCCCTCTCCCTCCACTTATATATACTCAAAGGGGGTGCGTGCCCTAGATACACAAGTCCCTTTTGTTTCGGGCCCCCCTTCTCTGTAGTTCCTCTAGTTCTATGATCTAGATTGATTTCTCTTAGTTCTCATCATAGAGAAACCCTTTGTGGTTCTCTTCATCCCACCTCTAGTTCTCCAGCGACGTCAAGCTCTGAACGACAAAGCGCCCCCAGATCGTGAAGCCCGTACACGTGCAGCCCATAGAGAAGTCGTGCTTTCAATCTTCAGTTCGAGGGATCATTCGTGAACAGTACAAGGGATTTGATCAACGATCTACACCAACTCTTCTTCTGTTGCAACTCAAAGTTGGTAATGATCCGATCTAACCTCTATATGTATCTTCATAGTTATGCGGGATCTTGATCGTAGGGCATTTTTTTGTTTCCTACTACGTTCCCCAACACACGCGTGGATCCGGTGCGGGCTAGCTAGAGTCGACGGGCCACGCCATAGGGTTGAGACAGCTAGCGCAACATGATATGTTCCTGTAGGCTTTGTCTGGTGGTGGGGCTGTGTTGGGTGTTTGCGGTGGTGGTGACCTAGCCCAAATATGCTATCCGAGGGCACCTATAGGCGTCACCTCGCTCGGGCTGCTCCGAGAGAAACCGTAGATGTGGGTCTCCCTGATCGGATAATGATGGAACCTTCAGTGTCGTTCTCCCTCCTGGGGCATTGCTATGGAGCAGGTGCTCGCTAGAGGAGCCAAGAGGTGGTGCAGTGTGGTATCTACCTCATCGGCGGGTCTCGACAGCGTGACGCAGGGGGGTCTCGACGTTGGACGTGTGCTGATAAACACGTGCATAGTGCTGGCATTGTCAGGCATCGACGATAGTTTTGCCTGGCAAGGTCAATGCGTTGATCTCTCTTGAAGTTCGGACGGGGGAAGGTGGCAGCGGTCGATTTTGGAGCGTGTGCATGCGGTATGCGCTAAGGGTCTAATAGACTGGTTGATGCTCTTGGCTTGCCGTGGGGCGGCATGATGAGGCCACCGGATTCGATGAGGTGCGTTGGTGCGAGATAGGGGCACATCAGCAAACTAATAGGTGTAGTGATATAGATCGCCAGGAAGGTGGCTTTGGGTTGATTCCATGTGTTTGTTTTGTCAAACTCCATTGAATAATATACTTCCTCCGTTCCATAAAGTTCTGAATATAATTTTTTTTAAGTCAAACCTCACTAACTTTTATCAAGCTTATGGAGAACAATATTTACATCTAGAATGCCAAACATATATCAATAGATTCATCATAAGACGTAGTTTCATATTATATTTTTTTATTGTAGATATAAATAGTTTTCTTTATAAACCTGGCTAATATTTTGGACTTTCAAAAAATCTATATGCACTAGGTTACGGAACAGAGGGATTATAATAAAAATAACTTTGTGGATTGCTTTATAGTTCTACGAGAAGAATGACACCCCTGTGATCAAGATCTAGGCCCATCCGTTCCTAAATATAAGACCTTGCCATTTCTCCACATTTGTGCATGGTTTGAGCTACATGACTTGAGTTTGCACTGTACTTGATTAATGTATCCGCACATGCAGGGATTTGTAACCTTGAGTTTTACTTACCACTTGAAGAGCACATTGTCACGTTTATGTGATGTACACAAGTCTTTTCTGAGAAGATTTAATGGACTCAGAGTGGGACTTCATGTGTGGCACTGGCACTTGAGCGCCGCTCGGCAGATCCAACAAGAGAGCATCGACAATTTCCCCAACGCATTGTGTTTGTTTGTTTGTTTGGTTACAGGAACCAAGTAGCACGCCTGAAACTTGAGCTACATTGGTAAAGAAGAAGAAGAAGAAGCGAGCGGTAAAACTCAGAACTAAACAAAAGAAAAAGAAAAAGTTTATCAGCTAAGGTAATGAGACCGGCGGGCTCCTCTCGTTCCCTGGTAGCACGCCAGGCACGGTAAGAGATCGCGCCTCCAGCTTTCTTCCCTATACACGGTTAATAAACTTGTCAGGTTGGCCGTGAGGGAGCCGCTGCTGGTGCGTCGGCGACATCCTGCGCCGGAAAGTTGAGGTCGGGGAGCGCAAAGCCGCCACCGGCTTGCTGCGGCTTCCTTTGTCGCCGCTCCGCCTCTTCGGACCCTACCATCTTCCGCTTGTTCGAGGAGGAAGAATGCTCAAACCTTGTCTGCAAAATTGGTCAGAAGGAAAAGTCAGTACAGGCTTCACACACAGCCAGCGCTTGAAATTCAGGTAACAAACCGAACCCGGATAAAACCACTATATTGACCAAAAGCGTCATCTACCAATCAATAGTTACACAAGCAGGAGAGCACGGACAAAGCAAACACAAGCAGGGACCATTTCAGTGGGTTGGGCCAGCCTAAATATATTGCCACCACAGTGCAACTTGTTCACCTACGTCTACGTGTGTGGTGACACTGTACACGGCACACGGCCACACACAGCGAATTGCTAGCAGTAGTACGACACTAGAATTTGGCCGGAGCTGACAGAGGAGACCTGGGTGGCTGAGACGACGATGGTACGTACACCACTACGATTATAGATTTATAAGTAGTAACTGCGGCAGGGCTGCATTAAACAAGGACACGGGATCGTCGTGCCCGGCCGGGCAGGTGCGCCCAGATCCAGTTACTTGTTGCAGGTAGGATCGGCGGCAACATGGCATTCTTTATCGCAAAGGATTCTCTTCTTGACAGCGTACGTACGGCCAATGAGCACGGAGCAAGACCTTTTCTACTTCAACCTACTACTCCTGTACTGTGCATCCATTTGCACATACAGTAGACCCAATAGTGGTATTGAACTACCTACAGTACACCCACTCAAGTATCGAACCATGGGCCAAGGTGATCGGAGCTTCCGTTTTTTGAGAGATAATGGACATGTGCTCAGTTCAGACATCTTGTCTTTTGGCAAACATTCAGATATCTCGAGCAGCGATCAGCTGCCACAAGCAGGCTCCAACTCTCTGCTACCACGACGAGTAATTTAAAACAGAGGGAGTAGTAGGTAGGCACATCATTCTTAGGGCCTGTTTGGTTTCAAATAAGTCACCAACTTATAAGTTGAAAAGTGAAAAAAATGACTTATTTTGCCGAACAGACCCGACTTATAAGTCACCCCAACTTATAAGTCATAAGTTGCTTCATACCAACTTAAAACTTATAAGTCATCCTCTTTTGTGTTGGTCCCACCACCTGCATGATGTTGATTGGTGTGGAGAGGTGTGTCTGGTGACTTATAAGTCAGGTGACAACCAAACAGACGTAACTTATAAGTCACTGGTTTTAATTCACCTGACTTATAAGTTGGGTGACTTATTAGAACCAAACAGGCCCTTACCCCGCCGGGCCCATGTACAGCGACACCACCAGAAAGGCCAAGACGACGACGGTAACCCACGTCTAAACCTGCCTGCCTAAAGCTTATCCGGACGGCACGGGTCGCACTCAGTTTTCTTCCCCAAGGACAAACAGCAACAAGAACGGTGGTTGAGAGGGATGCGATGCGACCATCAAATCAAAGCCACACTCCTCAATGAAACCCAAAAAATCGTACTACTACTAGGAACCACAGCACAAAGAGATTAAGCCAGGACCCACCCAGTGGTGCCCCGCTGGGAGGCTCCGGACGGTCCGTATTTTCTTCTTCTTTTGCCATCGTTTCATTCATTCGCTTGCGCTTTAAGGCTGCTCTAGCAACCATGCAAGTGGAGGCCCCGAACCGATTTTTCTCTCTTTCTTTGTGAGTGCTTATGATTGCGCACTCGCCACTCGGGCGGAGTACGTCCCGCCCAACCTGGAAGCATCTATCTATGCTAATGCTGCTACGGAGAAGTTAAGATTGGTAGTGCGCGTGAAGGCGTGGCACTCACCTCTAGTCTGCCGTTCTCATTGGACAGCGCCGTGCAGGCCCTCAGCAGCGTCTCCATCTCCTGTTCAACGGAAAGCGGATAATAAGAATTTAGATGCAAATTCGTGTGAAATTGGCGACAGAATTTGTAGAATGTGAAATTCATGAAAAGGTTAATTACCCGGCGAAGGCCAACGTTCTCCGCCGACAGGGACAGCACTAGCTGCTTCACTTCCGGGAGCCTCTGCAGCAAATCACAGCACAAGTTCAGGCTTGATCAAGCAAGCCAAAAAGGGCAGATGCTAATCTATTTTTCTCCTTCGTCATTTCTTTATGGGCAATCTGATGCGATCGGTCATGAGCTGGGACAGGACAGGACCGGACCGGCAAGACCATCCGGCGTTGATGAGGCGAGGATCTTTTTGGGCAGGCCGAGGCAGGCAGCTTTGTTGCCTTTCTGGTCCTTTGGACGCCAAGCACTCTCTCTCTCCACCTTCGATTCCAATGGCAGCTAGTGGTTGCACCACCCGCTTTATTCCACCAGGCCAAGCTACTACTAAAAAACAATAAAGAATGCCAGCCATTTGAACAGCCTCACTTCTCCTACGACCGACTCCGTCTGCGTGGACTGTGGCCAACTGCTGATGCGGTATACGAAAAAGATGCAAACCTGACTTGTAAAAGTCTAAAAAAAACTACATTCAAATGCTGAAAAATGCCCGCCTATCTAAACATGCTTTCAACGTAAGATAGAGAGCTGAGTTTCAAGCTTACCATCTTCTTCCGCGACCTCTGGCCGGCAGTGCGGGCCGGCGGGACGGGCATGATCGACGGGCGCTGTGCTCCTCCGGCAGGACCAACCTGCAGCAGCAGCAGCAGGAGGGGATGAGCAATTACAAGATCAGTTGTTAGCTAGGAGCCTAGGATATGCTGCTGGTGCTGGTAGGAAGAAAGCGAGAGCGGAACCAACCAACGACCCGCAAAGAAAGCAACAGCAGGGAGACACATGTTCTTTATTATCAAAAATAAAAAAGGAAACCGGTTGAAGGCATGGAAGGAATGATGATGTTGATGATGATGACGATGATGAGACTGATGGGCCGGCCGGCCGAACTAACTACCCAACAACAATGCACCGGCCCGGCGCATGCATGCATGCATTTGTACGCACCAAATCACGTGAAACGCATTACGGTTTTGAGCTTTTGATGAATCGGTGCATCGGCAGTGCGTGTACACCAACGACCACCTGCTCATCTGCCATCCTATCTACACACTTGGTGTTTGTAATAAATAAACAAATTAATATACAGATAGAAAAATGGTTTCTCTTGGACGGGGACAATGACATGTGGGGCCTGCGCGAGGCCATGTAAGTACGGTTTGGGAAAGCGGTGGTGTGCCGTGTGCGTCACCAACCGAAAGGCGTCGTGGGTGCTGCTGGCGTGCGGGACCGGCACTAGCGGCACACGTGGCGGGAGTCGAGTGGCCACGACACGCCGTATCTACCACCCTCGTCCCCGCCTCCGTGTCCGGCGGCACGGCCATGCCCGGGCACAAGGTCGAGCCAATCGGCGGCGGCCACGTAATCCAAACGTCTACGTTGACACCGATTCCCAACTGCATGGCGGGTAGGCCCGGCCCCACGGGCGGTGCCACTGCCACCGCAGCGCGAGGAGAAAATCCAAACGCACGCAAGGATAAGGGCCGGCCGAAATGACCACACCGCCCCCCACGAAGGTCTGTAGTTTGGGGAAAGGCGTGAAAGCCGCAGCCGTAGCTCGTGGTCAGGAGGCGGATCCCCACACCACCAACCGCTGTGAATTGCCACGGAAGGAGCAGGATGAGTGTTGCAGGCAAGCACGCGACACGTACTAGTACCATGGAGTGGAATGGCCATGGCGATAAAAAGAAATCAGAAGCCTTTTTTTGTTGAAAATCAGAAGCCATTGACATGTATTTCTAGTGCAAATTAAGTAGGCGGGCGTGGTTTGACATTCAGAGCTGACGCCCGTGAATTGGACTGTTTCGGTGGGAAGACGATGGATCTGTGGAACCATAAGCGGGGTATCTGGAGTTGGACCGAAGAAAACATGCGAGAAAAGGGAACGGAGAAAAGGATGAGATGTGAGAAAAGGTCGTGCCAACAAAAAGCGGGCGCGGTGCGGTGAGGCCAGAGGAAAAGCGATGTTTCATCGCGAAGTCATCCACCGTCGCTCATCCTCTCTGTCTCGGTGGTGACACGGTGGAGGGGTAGTTTCGTCCGTCCCATTAGCAGGAGCAGGCGCTGTACCGAACGAACGGAAAGCACGCAAAGCAGGCAGGCAGCCAACCACGAGAAAGGAGACCGACAGACTGGTTGGAGGGGAAGAAGAAACCAGCAACTGCAGATGGGGACGCGCGCGCTCGTCTAGGTACCTTGGCTGATGAAGAAGCTGGGGTGGCGGTGGTTGGGCCGGCGTGCCCGCGCGCGAGGGCGACCGCCGCCGCCGGCGGCGAGCAGAAGGCGCCGTCCTCGCCGCCGCTGGTGGACGCGCCGGACCCGGACCCGCCGCTGTAGTCGAGCGGGGACGCGGGGCTGCCCCGGGCCCATCTCCCCTTGTTCTTGCTGGCCGCGGAGCCGGAGCGCGACGCCCGCGTCCGCTTCCCCCGCGCCACCGCCGGCCAGGCCGTCTCCTCCTTCGCCGTGGCTTCGGACGACGCCGGCGCGCTCGCCTTCCAGGGCGGCGTCCACCCGGCGAGGTCGGCCGCGCGGAGAGAGCAGATGATGCCGGCCGCCTCGGCCTCCTCCGTCATGGCGGCCGGTGAGTGTCAGGCAGAGGGAGGAAGGGGAACGACCGGAGGCGTGGACGAGAGAGAGAGAGGGAGAAGGTAGGCAGGGCGATGGGTTGGAAGGTGGACTGGAAATGAGAGGGGCGTGCGTGGAGTGGAGCGGAGGCCAACCAACGCCACGCCGTGGCACCGCTTTTAAATGGCCGGAATAATTAGAAGCGCGGAATGGCCGTCGGGCCCACCCCACTCCACTCCTCCTCAGAGCATCTCCAACAGCCGCGCTATAGCGCCGCGCGCAAAAAACCTTTTAGCGGGCGCGCTGCGGCAGATTTTGCGCGCCCGCCTGCGCTGGTTCCAGCAGCCGCGCCATAATGCAGCGCGCACGCGCGCCGTTCCAGCAGAGCGCAAAAATACAACGCGCGCGACTCGCCGGGCATTTTGCATATATGGATATTTTGGACAAAAATGAACATATAAAATTTGACACAAACAGTTGATGAATAAAAGTTCATGCCCACAAGTTCATCAAAATCATGCCCACAAGTTCATCCAACCAATTTCAAATCCAAACTAAAAGTTCAAGACATGAAAGACACATCAAGCTTCATCGCCGCGCTAGGGTTTCCGGCGGCGGCGGCGGCGGCGGGTGCGGCGGGGGGGTCGCGGATGTACAGCGGGGTGAGCGGGGCGCCAGTGTGCGCGTCCATGGCGGGGGGCAGGGCGCCGGCGCCGGCGCGCGCGGGGCGTAGGACAAGGAGAGGGAGAGAGTGCGGGCGCGAGCGCTCGAGTGTGCCGCGCGCTGTAGCTGGCGCTCCAAATACACCGCGCGGATAAGTGTTTTTGATCGCACGCCCAACCCATTATCGCGCGCGCGTCGTTTTTGCGCGCCCGCTGGAGCGAGCCGCCGCGTTGCGCGCGCGCTAAAGAGGCCTATTTTGCGGCGCGGCGCTAGTTTAGCGCGGCTGCTGGAGATGCTCTCATGCGGCAACTACGGGACGCGCCGCGCGGGCCGCCACGTCCTCCTCCTCCCCGCGTAACGACCGACGCCACGCCGCTTACCAGTGGGGGGCTCCAGCGGGCGCCCCGCATGTCAGCGACGTGGATGGTGTGGTGCGTCCGGGACTGGCTTGCGATCCACTCCGACGACGTGGACGGGCGCCGACCGGGGATTGTGCAGGCGACGCGGATGACCGGTGCCCCGAGGTAGGGCCGTGGTGTCAGTGGGTGAGGAGGGCAGGGTGAAGTCAAGGCGTAGGAGGCAAGGCACGGGTAAGCTTGGAGGAGGCGATAGTGGAGGCATCTGGGTTTCCGTGTGGCGACGGGTGCGCACAGCGATCTACAAAAGCGGCTGACGGTGGTGATCGGGGCAAGAGGAAAGAAATGCTAGTGTAGTCAGAATGCGTTCTTTCCATATAGCTCGTGCGAGCTGCGCTGCCCAGCACCAAAAGAGCGACGCCGACCAGTTGCGCCCGCGGCGTAAATGCGGAGAGCAAGCCAAATATTAAAAGAGTGTGCATCAAAATATGTAGACACATAAGATAGAAATAAGTATAGATTGATGATAGTCATACGGACAGGATTATCATAATTATTTTACATAAGATCCAAAATGATGCCCGATACAAAAGTCTAGATAGAAAATCAAACCACTTCAAATAAAAAAAAATACTCTTCTGAAATTATGCTCCTCTTAGAACATACACACTTCTTGTGCATATGGTTGCAGGTTGTATCCATGCCAAGGTAGCACCTTGTATGCATAAGATGGACCATATGTTGAATATACGAACAATGACTACTGTACCCTTCGCCTGTGCATTGTCAAACTGTATCCTGCACCTGTTCATGATATATGGTTGGCCATTGTCAAATTGTACCAAACTAATGAATGGAACTGAAAATCTTAGCAAAAGCAAAGCTTCTAGGCGTGTGATAAAAATAAAATAGAATGAAATATATCATAACGAAACTTCAGTGGTGAAGATGGCAGTGTCACTCTGCTTGTGTTCATACTCCCTCACTACCTGCAACACTCTAAAATGAGGACATATCATGACAACAGTTTGAGGTCATCTCTCTCCACCGAACATAATTTAAATGACATTGAACACTACTCAGAACCAAGATGATATGTACCAACAATCACTTAAAAATGGTTGAATAATAAAATTATGTAGGTCCTAGTTTACAATTGTGAGCTTACCGAAAACAGAAAAATACTTTGAACAGTAGGTTTTAGTTTTTCACACCAAAAGATCCGCACGCGAACACACGCGAAAAGAGGCAGAAAGATAGGGAGGTTACACATGAAAGCGGAGAAGCTGCTCTCCTGGCCATCTATGGATGGTCCAAAAATATGAAGAAAACATACTCTTGGTTAAACTGAAAATAGCTCAAAGGTTCAAAATATTGAGAAAGAGGAGTAACTATAACACAGACTGACCAATTAAACAAGGATTTTAGACTGAAAAACAAAATGATACAAGACTCAAACATGAATACTAAAACTGTTGCACTGATTAAATCAACTACATGACTGAAAAATAAACTGAATATCTGATTACAATATCATGAGATGGGAAGAAGCAAATCCAGTTAAACAAATCTAATATAATTCAGCCTGATTACACCAAAACATAATTAACTTCTTTTAAAAGCAATCAGCCAGTTTAACCATTTGGACATACCTTTCTGTCTCCTCTAGCATATCCAAAGTAGAGAATGACAACGGTAATAGATCATGCTGAGGCCCGCTGACATGCATCAATCATGATGAAGAGCTCCATGAGGTTCTCATTGACAGGAGAGCAAGACGCAAGAACGGATCACTTCAGCTAAACATGCATGGGTATACCTATTGGAAAGGAGAGGGAGGAAGGGACATGTTATGCCACGGCCCAACCCAGGAAGGAGGCCCAAGTTTTGTGCTATACCCCCCTTAATCCTTTTCAACAAAAATAAGTAGTATGAAAAATTCGTTTATCATCAATTAAATTTGATGAAGGATAAGCATACAATAAATCTTATTCTTATTTTATCCAAGTGAGTAATCCCTTCCTTCGGAGTTTGTTCTTGATGAATAAATTCTAGTTCCAAGTGTTTTCATCTTTTCTTTTCCGTTCAAATTTCCTTGGCCATTTCATCGGAACCCCCATCTAAATCACCGCAAGGCTCATCTTATTCTTTCTTCCTTCATTCTATCTCATCATCCTTTTGTCACCGGAGTTCTTCATGATTTAATCCATTCCTCAAGTGTTCTTCAAGATTCTTGTTGGAGGAGTTCAAGAATATTTTCTTCTCGCATCTCGAAGTGCAAATAATTCTCCGTTTTCTCCTGAAGTGGAGTTTTGCATTTCTTCGTTCTTCTCAGCTATTCAGACATTGGTTGTGGTATAATTTCACCTCAAGTTTTGAGTTGTTTTGATAAGTCCACAACAAGCTTATTCTTTTGTTGTTGATTTTCTCAACAACTCCATTCAATCCTTCCTTCTAAGTTCTTTTCATTCCATTCTTTCAATTCTTTCGGAGGCATTGCGTTGTTCATCTCATCAAGTGCCATTCCATCTTGTGAAGTTCATGTGTTATTCCTTCCATTTTCAGCCGGAGTGCTACCTAAATTCTTCCATTCTTATTCCTTTCCTATCTTGTTCTAACCGGAGTGGTTTCAGAATCTATCTTTTTCTTGAGCTTTTCATTCTTGTCATATTCGCCGTTCCTCTTTCTATCGAATGCTCTCGACCTTGTTCATCTTATCTCGTGCACTCTTGTTTCGCCTCATCCTCTTTCCCTTCCGTCTCGTTCCTAAGATCTCGGGACGAGATCTCTTGTTAGTGGAGGAGAGTTGTAACGCCCCGAATCCAATGCGCCAGGTGTCTTCCGGTTATTCGCCGTCATTGCCATGTCATTTGCTTGCGTGTTGCATTTTGACATGTCATCATCTGCATTGCATCATCATGTTTTTCAAAACTTGCATCCGGTCGTTTTCCCGTTGTCCGTTTCGTGATCCGACACACGCGCACGCGCCCCGACGCCTCCGAAATAGTATTTTATTAGTGGCATAAAAATGTTCTCGGAATGGGTTGAAACTTGGCGTGCGGTCTTATTATAGTGTAGACAGAGCGCCTATCAAGTTTCGTCGCATTCAGAGCTTGTTTGATAGCCCTACCGTTAAACTTATAGCAGCATCGTAGCCGGTCAAACGTCGGATGTTTTCGGTCTCCGGAAACAGTTGCCGGGCTGCACTCCTTCCCTCTCATCTCAGCCCAAGCCTATCTCACATAGCCCACTTATGGCCTACCTAACCCCCTCCGCTCCGGACCGTCCGATCGAGATCGAACGACTCCGAAACGGAGCAAAACACCTAACCCTAACCCCCCCATTTCCTATTTAAACCCCCTTCCCTTGCCAATTCTGGCCTTCTCCTTCCTTCTTCTCGAAAACCGCGCCCCCAAATCATCCCCTAGCCTCCTCCCACCTTGGGGGCCGCACCACCAACCTCCCTAGCCCGCCGGCCCCCACTTGGCGCGATGCCACGGGCCAGCGCCGCCATCCTCGCGTCCGCCAGCCTCTCCTACGCCGCCACGTCGCCTCCCCAAGCCCCCACTTCGCCGCGGCCCTCAGGGTCCATATAGAGCCCGCCCCGAGCCCATCCAGGGCCCGAGCCACCGCCGCCCTCACGTCCGAGCTCCCCGTGCGGGAGAGCTCCCGATCCAGCGTGCCCCGCCGCCCGTCCCGGATCCGGCCTCCGGCGTCGTTCCGGGCCCCCCTCTGACGTCCTCTGCTCGGCTTCGCCGTCGCCATGAAGACATCGCCGGCGCCCTGGTCGGGGATCGAGCGGAGGAGCCGCTCGATCCGATGCCCCATTGGCTGCGCCTCGTGTGGGCCCCGGCGCCCTGGCACAGTGCCCCGTCCGGCCCAGCGCCTCGGCCCAGCCCCAGCCAGCCTCCTCCCTCGTAATAGGCCGAGTTCCAGTGGTGAGCAGCCCACTAAGCCCCGCTCGGTGCGCATTTTAGCTATCGGTCGCT